ATGCTGTTTTTATATTTTGGGTAAACATGCAAAAGATAGGACTCAGCTGATTAAAATAAAGTTTGCAAGAGATTGGGTATCAGAATTAAGTGTGCTCAGAGTTTACAACAGCAGAACAAGTTGCTGTTAAATGTCATACAATTGTTCTCTGCAGCTTATGAACTGCCAGAATTCAGTATGAATTTTGAAAATATATTAAATATTGATGTACTACAGACTTGTTGCAGTATTTTCCTAGGCTGGTGACATGCACCTAAATACATTAATCTTAGTGGATAGGATTCTGAATTTATTTTCTACTACCCACCCAATTTTTGGCAATTTCCCCAATATACATACCACAGTTCACCCCATTCTTCTCACTCTCTAGGCAGCATTTTCAAGAGGCTGTCCTGAGAAGATGGGAAGCAGAGAAATCTAGTTCTACCAGCACAGCTTATCCAGCTGAAACCTGAACTCAACCCATTACAGTATTAATTTCTTCAGCTAATTTCTTAACAGAATCCTATTCGTGACTACTCAGAAGCAAGTTCCATTGACCAAAAGGACTTCTTCCTCTAGTATAAGATAGGACCCTACATTATTAACATCTAAAAAGCTAAATGAAGATAAAGTTCAAATCCCCAGTAACTGTTCCTCCCCCTGGTGCTTCACACAATCTTAACATACATATTCCCATATACAAAGCACTTTACACAATCCCATCCCCAGGCATACATTCCATCCTGACATTTGCAAATTCAAAAAAGTTACTAGTTCCAATTTTATAATGTTCAACATATCAGCGCAAAACATTTGATACACACTATTATGCAAGGACTGATGGTGGGGAGGATTCTGTTGCAAACTACCCTGGGAATGCCAACTGAGCAATGCTGACTTGGAATACATTTTAGAATTAATTACCAACAGTGATCCAATTAAGGCACAATTCTAAGGTAGAAAAAATTACAACTCCCAGTGTGGCTGGATGGAGCTTGCTGGGAACTGCAGAACCTTTTTCTGACTAAACATGCATAGGATAGGCAAATTACGACTCTACTCCTTTGTATACTATTTTGACTAAAATCATTATTTATTTAGACTATTTTATACCATTCATCAGGCATGCATCTCTCTGAAATTCTTAGCAATAAAATTTTAAAAAATCATAGATCATTTCTGGAAAATTGTCCATTTTAACCACTACTGTGGCAACCAAATAAATTCTTTCTGAGTTGTACAATATAAAAACTGCACTTATCACATGAATAAGATAGCACAGCACATAGAATTTCTGAGGTAGATTTCTGACATGGTTAGCAGGAAACTCAATATATATGTTGACACAAAGACATCGCATGACAAGGTGAATGTACTGTTTATGCCAGACCATATAATGCAGAATTAGAAGAGGTTACATATTTGAAATCCAGAAATTCTATTCAAGATACAGGTGCTGTAGTTCCAAATTATATCAGTTTGAACTGGTAGTCTTTTCTTGATTAAAATAATTAGACAAGAGTACATCAAAAGACTATGGAATAGTCCAGGTGTATCTTTACTTTTAAATAAATTAAAAGCTTATATGAAAATGAGAAAGGATATAACTGAAATTGAGTAGAAATTATGTCAAATCATTCCAAGTTATATAATTTTCCAGATATTTATTCATTGTATTTGTATCCTGCCTGTTTCCCTGCTAGAAGCCAATGGCAGATTACATAATCCTCTTCCTCCTCTCTATTTTATCCTCACAAAATTGTGAGGCAGATTAGGCTGAGAGCCAGTCCACTGAGCTTCACCACCATATCAGGACTGGAACCTGGATCTCCTGAGTCCCATTCCAATGCTAACTGTTTATACCACACTGGCTCTCAGCATGAAATATAGCATGAAAGAATATTTACTAAAGAACACCTGTGCAAAATGAACACACAATGCTAGCAGAAAACCTTCAGTCAAACTGTGAAATACTTTCTTGAATGTAATGGAAAGCTCAGTAAGCAAATGGGCTTTGTTTGCCAAAGGATAGAGCTATCAAGATGATTTCATTAATTAAGTTAATGGGTGGATTGCATAGCCAGGACATACCCATTCACACTTGCCATGAGTAATGCCAAAAGAGAAATTGCAACAATCAAGACCCATATTGTTGGCTTTTAATTTATCATCCAAATAAATCTTGAATAAACTTAAAACATGGCTTTTTGAAACAGTCAAATTTCAAGTTCACAGCTATACTTAAGGTACCTTCATACAGAGTAAAAGCAAGTATTTTAAAGCTTATGACACCTGCAAGGTAAAGCTATCAATTAGTAGACTACTAATTCTTTCCCTTAGCACCAACTTTAAAAAGATTTGTGGTGGCTGTTAGTAGAAATTGTAATTTGTCCCATAAGGAAGTACAGAGCTTTGCTGAAGTATACACCTGCCTACCCACTCCCAACTTTTCCACATTTTCTGTGTTGCACCTTGCACTTGAAATGTATTTAATTACCATTGTTACAACCCGATGTACACAAGATACTCAGCTCCAGCTGAAGGTGAAAAGTATTTTTATTGTTTACAAAAGTTATGTAAACAAAAACAAATTTACACTTGTTAGATGGATAAATATTCATCCTGTTTGCCTCCTAAATAAGCTTTGTGGCAACCAACTGCATGCTGTGTCACAAATTTGAATGGAGCTGAGATTAAATACACCTGTTTTTAATGGACCCCAGAATTTGTTGGAGAGCATATGAAAGTCACCACAAAGGCCAAGAAGTTATAAAACAACTCCAGGATAAAGTAGTACAGAAGCATCAGTTAGGGTTTGGTTATAAAAAAAATCTCCTAAGCTGTGAACATCCCCTGGAGCATCATTAAATCCATTATTACAACATGGAAAGAATGTGGCTCACTCACAGCTCTGCCTAGAGAAGGCTGTCTACCAAAATTCAGTGAATGCCTAAGGAGAGTATTAGTCAGAAAGTCAACCAAGAGGCCAATGGTAACTCTGAAACAGTTGGAGAGACCCACAGCTGCAATAGGAGAAATCACTGATTAGATAACTATCACCCAGATGCTCCATAAGCCTAACTTTATGGAAAAATGCTGGGGAAGAAGGCCATGGCTGAAACAAACCCATTATCAAAGCCTGTAAGGAATTTGCAAAAAGGTATGTGAGAGACACAGTCTACATGTGGGGAAAGGTTCTGATCAGAGCAGAACTGAACTTTTGGGCCTTGTTGAAAAATGCAGTAAGAGTCACAAAGCCAACAGTGCTCATTTCCCTGAAAAAGCATCTCCACAGTGAAGCACGGTGGTGGCTATCTCATGTTGTGGGAGTGCTTTTCAGCAACAAGCTACTTGAACACCTTTGGTAACATCTTTGTTTTGAATATTGTACTACTATTCTGTATAGCCAGCTGCATATAAACCAATCAAAGGAAAAAGAACTTCCCTGAACATTCTATTCATTTGGCAGGACCAAAATTATTATTGCTTCAGTTTGGACTCATCTTGGGTACAGCTTCTGAACCATTTAACTGTTTGTATGATTTATTTCATACTCTGTAACTGCTCAGAGTTCGGGCAATCACTGGTTCTTGTTTGTGTTTTGCCACTCTTGATGCTGTTGTGTGTCTGCTTGGAGCACAGCCTGAAATTTGACAGGCTTTAATGATATTTCTTGTGATTATTTCTTACTGTGATTCTTTACTCCACTCTGCTACCTATCTGATATTTCCAGAAGAATACCCCACCTCCAAGTGAACCACTTCACTGCTGCAGAAAGATACCTTTGCTTTGTATGCCCAGAAAAAAAGTGCTAAGTCCCAAAGACAGGTTCCATATATACAAAGATACCTACAAAGCCACACAGGAAGTCTACTTTAGGTAAAGTTTTCTTTTGAGTCCAAGGAAGCAACAGTCAACAAATGAACACAGCGTACTGGAAGAGTAGCCACCAAAAAGTCTTGAGCTGAATATACAATTTCTGATTCTGAGCTGAAATCTCTAGGATGGCACCCGATTGCAAAGCTCTCCAAACACATTATTTTAATCAAATTGTGGCTGGCTCTAAAGTCCGTATTAATGGCTAACTGCCCATTAGTTTTCCTAATCTTCACCCATCCAAAAGCCTTGCCTTTGAATATTATCCATAACCTGGTTCAGAAAATTATCATTTGGCTTGAGGCTTTTGTTCTATTTTTAAAATTCATTAACTAAAAATTGAGTTATCTGGGTTGATAGCATATTTCTCATCTTTGACAACCTACCAGGAGTGAAGTCCTTTGGGTTTCCCTCCTGAACTTAGGCAGACACAGATAATCTATTTCTGTCCCCTTTGCCTTAGTGCTGGTGAAGATGATGGCAATCTTAATAGTATAGCCTTCTAATAGCTTTCTCTCCCATTTCCATACAGCCATGTTCCCCTTCTTATTTGGCAAATGCGAAATAAGAAATCTTCATTTCTTAGTTAAACATATTAAAAACAGTATATCAGCCCAACTTCTAAAGCAGATTTCTCCAACCTGGTGTCTCCAGATGTTTTGGACCAACCTTCATCTTTCTGGAACATAGGCTATATTGGCTGGAAATGATGGGAGCTGTAGCACAAAACATCTAGAGGGCATCGAGGTACTGCAGGCTATGTTAATGGCAGGTATACTAATCAAACTGTTTTTCTCTTCTGTAAAGAACAGACATGTGTGTTTTGAAAACAAAAACTGGTTAAAAATTGTCTGATGTTAGAAATTTAGTGTTTCAGCTAATTTCCACATTTTAGAAGTAGTTATTCTCCACATTTGTTGCAGCACAAAGCATAAATATCCTGTGTGCTCACTATGTATCTTAAAGATACCTGCCCATAAGACTACTGTCCATTGGCTTGCATGTATGACTGCACCAAATGTCCCTCTCCTAACTTAGAACAAAGTGAATCTGTAAATGTACTAGAAAAGGGGAAAAAAACTTTCACTGCCCCAAATCTAACATTAGGTAAGTGGGTTTCTACTCAAGCAATGGTAATTTACCTTCCTCTTCTATAGTATTCCACATGCCTCCAAATCCGCATTGATGGGTACCCCAACCCTCCAGAGCTGATTGGAGGGGTTGTGGTGGGGTAAGAAGTTCAGTCCACAAGCAGTGTCTGTTCTAGTGGTAGAGACACCACTAGATATAGCCAAGTAAAATAGAGTCAGTAAACACAGCACATCTAGTAAGGTACTCTTACATATTCCACTTGGATATTTCAGTCTCCAATACCAAGTTAATGTTAGGCAGTGTTATGTCCAACAACAATTATCTATCCAATTTGGTGATAAGAAATCTTTAGGGCCAGGTTCTTAAGACATACACTTTCTATTTATTTGTATCTCCCCAAAATTCAATTTTAAATCTTGTGAACGCAAAGGGAACACTAATGGCTACTATCTATATAGTTTTAATTAGGTTATAGCAACAGATGAATCCAAATGCATGCTTAATCACACTTTTCAGCTATGTACTCTAAGCTGCACATATTTTTAAAATACAAACTGTTCTTGTCAGGACTGGCTAGCATGACATCTGCTTTCCACTTGCAGAAGTCATTAATAACATTCAAAAGTATAGAGAACATACAGAAACAATTTTAAAGAAGCAACAGAAAACCAAGTGTACTTTGGAAACCTACTAGGGATATAGTAGAATTATCAAAACCAAACATTCAAGTTTACCCAAACACATAAACTGTTTCTCATCGAGACCTAAAAGCGAACCAACCTTTATGAAATCAACGTCCTGTCTCTGTTCCAATATATCTCAATCATTGTGGCACTGATGCAGAGAAACACACACACAGGTTTTCTGTTCCCTTTTATAAATACCACACACATGCAATCTGCCATTGCACACATTTATCTAGTTATTACATTTTTATGCTGCCCAAAACTTAACATATATGAGATTTGCACCAGTGACATTGAACTTTTGATTTAGGTAAGATTGTTAAACTGCATCTGTACAAGCTTGAATAGTTTCACTAGCAGTAGGTCATGATAGAAAGCTAAACAAGAAATACAGATTACAATAAGGGTCAGACAGTATGAAAAATCTTCTATTCAGCACTGAAATAAGATCATTAGGCAGTCTAGAGAATCATCTTCCTTGGTGATTTCAAGAAGTTAGGTCTCTTTTGGAAATGTTCCAGGTATAGTTTACCCTGTTCCTCTTATTATGAATACCTTATCCTGTTGCTTTTATTACAAATAGTTTAATGGCCATTGTGTTCTGCTGTGAATAACACCTAACTTGACCTTTAGATAATGAATTATTAGTTCAGGAGAGGCTATCCAAGACAAATCAGGCCCTCTCGTCTTCTGGCATCTGAGACGTGGCCTGTGGTACATCCCCATCACATACCTTTGTCCTGATTCTTTTCTCTCTATGGGACTAACCAACCAATTGTAGGCACCTAACTTAACTAGACATCCTGGATTAGATGCAAGTGAAAGCTGTATAAGAAACAAAGAGCAATGTCTTCCATTTCCAATAGTAGCTTCCTCCTTGGAGAAATCCTTACTTAAACCATAACTAAGATCCAAATCACAATTAACATGGAGTCCATCATTGCTATGAAAGGGAGCCACATCACTTTCACCATGGTCCAGCACAAGAAAGGGAAGAGATGCTCAAGTGGACTGGATAATTCAACTACCCTGACATGCGCCAAGGAATGCTCTTGCTGCACAAACTACCTACTCCTTGTCAACAGCTATAGAATTAAGTGTTGTGGGAAACCGTTAATTACTAACGAAGAGTAGTCACTAAGTAAACAAGGCTCAACTGTTTCCTAAAAGGCTTGAAGCTACTGCTGCCAGTGCAACTGAGACAATGTGACCCAGTTTGCTCAATCATGGCCATTGTGCAGCCACCCCATGCCATGTTCTATTGTTAGATTATTTGAGGGTTCCTGCTCACCCTAAACAAACCATGCTGTCTGGGTTCAAACAACAAAACAAGTTGCACCAGTGTGGATAATCAGGGTAATCCAGCAGGCACAGTCAGTGGTTTGTTTCACCAGTCATGATTACACAACCCAAGCCTGTACATAGTAGCTCCCCTCAGCGCAAGACAATGCAGATGAGTTAACTAGTCAATTCCTGTGAGCTGTCTCTATTTATACAGAATCCTTGGGGATATTGCCTCTACCACAGAAGTCCACACAACTTGGGGATGACTCTAATAAAATGCTAACCATATGTGCAAATCTGATATCAAAAAATGCTAAAGTGAGACTAACACTTGCATGCATATGATAGAGAGCACACAACATGTAATAAGTGATTGTGAAGGACTGCACATGTGCTTTGTTGGGTACAGTTCACAGCAACTTAACATTAGCCAGCCAATGTGGTATAGTGGTGAAGAGCATGGGACTGGAACTCAGGCAATCTGGATTTCAGTCCCCACTCAGCCACAGAACCAACTGGGTGATTTGGATTAATCACAGGCTCTCATCCCAACCTACCTCACAGGCTTGTTGTTGTGAGGATAAGACTGAGAGCAGGAGGAGGACAATGAGATGAGTCACTTTAACTTCTTTGTAAGAAAAAAGATAGGATATAAATCTAATTAATAAGCTGTGCAGTCTTTGGGAAAGAGTGAGTCCACTGAGGTACTAGGTGACAGGCATCAGTACCACAACTAGTTCAATGAATAACCAGTGTAATAAACAAGAATATGATAAATAATCCATCATACATTGGAAAAAGGATTATTATCTGTATCCTAAATTGAACATGTGAGCGGATGACAAATTAAAAGAGAACAATTTGGTGGTGGACTGATTTGCTTGGGAACAGCTGATCTTTTTGACTAGGCCATAAGAACCAGAGTAGCAAAGAAATGTAATATATTTAAGATTTTTTATTTTGACCTATTCATTCAGAAAAATCCCCGTACCTCCTGCAGCCTCCAAATCTGCTCAAAGTTTGAAGAATGCTTTGGAGTAGATAGGGTGGGTAGGATGCTGGGGGGGGGGGGGCGTGGAGGTAGGGGCAGAAAAATCTCATTGAACAAGCAAAAGCCCATTAAGTGCAACACTGAATATCACCCTTTGAAAGCAAGTGGGATAAATAAAATTGCATTCTTGAATGACTTAAAAAATAAATTCCATCAGTGGCTCAACAAGAGTTGCCAACAAAGAATGTGTCATATTTATTATTTTAACAAAAGCCTGTTAAAAGAAAATCAGATAAGAAAAATGAGACAGAAGTTCTTCCTTTCACAACAAATTCAGTCTTGACCAAACAAGATTACTAAAGCCTCCATGAGAACAGCTTTGCACTTCTTTAAGTTAGTACCAGTGTAATAGCTTATTCCAATATCTGATGCCAGCAGTGGCCAATTGTGATACTTTAGAAGTTGGCTATTGCTAGGAATAACATTCCTGTTGCTGTATTAACATTACATTGCTGTACTAACATGCTGTATGGTCTCATGAAGGCTTCTTAGGTAAGGCTTACTGACAAAGCAAGCCTGTATACATTTACTTAGATATAAGCGCCACTGAGTTTGATGAAACTTACTCCCAGGTAAGTGTGCATACAGTTGCAGCCTAAATCAGTTAATCTGAAATGGAAAAAAATCAATTTCCTATCTCACATCCCCTGATCTGATGAGTTAGTAAACTGCTGTGGGGATGAAGCTAGGGTCTTGTTACTTGAATGATCAGAGCACAGCATATCTTACTGTCATGCTTGTTTGACAAACCACATTTCATACTCTCTTGCTTTTTGCCTAGAACACTGAAATCACAGACCACGCTATTATGTTATGTGGGCTAGAAATATAATATGCAGATACAACAGGTGGATGCAACAGGAAAAAAAACTGAAAAATGTTACCTTAATAAGAATATCAGCTGATATAACTATTCATTTTAGTAGCTTTATACTTTTCCAAATGCAAAAGAATTACATTCAGTACTCACATGTTAGTATGTAATGTACTGAGCAAGAATAATCTAACCTACATTGATTCATGGAATGATCATATATCTTGAATACAATATGTGCATAAATGTTTATAAAGTAAACCTATGTAACACACAAGTCTCAATTCAGAATAGTCCTTGCTTTACCAAAGCATTAATTATCTAACCTGGTCTGCACTTGACAATCTGAAGAATAGAAACTGCCACATTCTTCAGGGGTTGCTCTGTCAGATAAATCAATATCTTTCTGTTGGCACTGTTACAAGCAACAACCTATTCAATACAGGTTTCACAAATGAGAGGAATAACAATACTCACAATTAAATTAGTCCTCTTTATACAAAAATCAACCAATTAACAAGGATCAGAAAACATCAGAACCTCTCCCAAAATCACATTAACTAAAAAGAGTAAAGTACAAAACCTTTTAAATCATTAGTATTCATGCAGCTAAATCCTATGCATGTTTACTCAGACGTAAGTTCCATTTAGCAGAGTTAAATGGAGCTTACACCCAGGTTAGTGTGTCCAGGATTGCAGTCTAAATAAAATGTTAACTCCAATGACCAGCATTATTCATTCAGATATTATTTGGTGCCATGTTAAGAGACATAGAGGGGTCAGGTGCAAAATAATGTCAACAACTTGTCCAACTGAGGAAGTATCAGAATTACTATCTTTTGTCCAGATAGAACAAATAATTACCATAAGATCTGCAGTTTTGTTTTCTGGAGCATAACTGACAACCCCAAAGAGTATTAAATGTAAGCACATTTCAAATTTAGATGGCTTATAATTATTGATGGTCAATTTGACTTCAGTTTAGCACCCCAAGGAAAGTAAAAAAGCAATAAGAAAAAACTACAGTAATTAAGATTTTTTACTACATTTTTCTTCTCTTTCCTGCACCCATGTGTTTATTATGCAAAGTCTCATAACCATTTTTTATTAGGAACTGTGCTTTGGGATTAGAGGTAATATTAATATAAACATAAAATGCAGCTATTGCTCCAAATGCAGGCACCATCAAGTTCATACATTACAAATCCAAGTTTCCACTAAATTTGGATTAAATCACATTAACAGAAAATGGAATTTCTAGAAGATTTTTCCTAGCAGAATTGCAAGTAAATGATTTAATAATGGGATGTTCAATAAAAATGAGGACGATTTGTGTGACAAAGACAACCATTTGCCTATTAAATGTCAAGGCAATGTTAGTAAGAAGGATAATAAAGCACAGAAGAGGTTAAAAAGCCAGCATGGAGATGATCAGAAGCAAAAAGTTCATGAATGCTCAAATCTGCAAACGCACATAATCCCAACTGGAGTCCAAGGCCCACACACAAGTTCCAAGAGGAAGAAAACAACCTCAGGATCATATATGGCAAATTTGGGGTGTTAATTTTAAATAAAAGCAAAGATATATTGAACATCCACCTTATTTACCCTTCTGACAGTAACTCCCTATGAACAAGAATAGGAAGCAGATTTAAACAATTAAAAAAAAAACAAAAACCACCCAGACACAATTACCTTGTGCAGACCACAAGTGTGCTTCCCTCTCCTCCACCAATCTCTCCTTCCATTCTCAATACTCTCGGTACAAATAAAATCCCCTTCCCCATCCAAACTCCAGCAGATCACTACAGCCACCATCAGAGTACAAGATGGGAGGTGGGGAGAGGAGGGGGCATATAAAGAGAACACAAAACAGGCCGGGGTGGAATCATACACAGGCGCGCACACACATTCTCCTTTCCTTACACACACAAACACAAACGTTACAGCCTTCCCCACTTTTCACATTCAGTGCTCAAGCTCAATGGAGCAGCTCCAGGCCGACTACTCGATGGAAAAAGGAATCGGAGGGGGGGAGCACATAACAATCATATTCACCTGGACTGTGGAGGGCTGTGGTGGTGGTGATGGTGTTGCTCTTGCTGGTGGAGGTTGTTGTTGTTGTTGTGGGTGACGATGAGGAAGGGGGTGAGGAGGAGCAGCAGCAGGAGGAGGAGGAGGTGGTGGTGGAGGAGAGGAGCCGTTGTTGTTGATGGGTAACAGTCGCCAGGAC